ATGTCAGGGAGTTCTCAAAGGAAGTCACACAGCACTTCAAGTGGGCAAATGCTGGGCCTCTCCAGATGCAACTGGTTGATCTCCAAGCAGACGTGGCCCTGAAAGAGCAATTTGGAAAAACTGACCCTGCCACTTTCTGGCTCAAAACAGTCTCTGAGACAGCTTTCCCAGGTCTGAGGAAAGTAGCTCTATATATATTCACCATGTTTGGCTCCACATACAGCTGCGAGGCAGCTTTCTCCACAATGAACATTATTAAAACAAAATATCGTTCCAGGCTAACCAATGAGAACCTGCATGTGTGTATGAGAATGGCTCTGACACCATTTCAGCCCAGATTTAAACTCCTGGCAGGACAAGCTCGAGCTCAATTCTCGCACTGAACCAAAAAAAAGCGAGTGCGGGACTGCAATATAAGAGGGAAAGAAAGAGAAACTGTTCAATTGTTATGATGTAAAGACTGATATGTTCTATAATCGTCTGAAACTGTTAAGTCATGATGTGAAACGGTTAACAAAGAAAAAGGGAAACTCAAGCTGCTGCTACACTTTATTTTATTTATCTAAACTTAAGAACTTTTAAGATGCACATATTTTCAAAAGCTATTTTATTTATTTTCTCTATTTTATTTTTAAATGCAGCCCGAGAGGAACATTAAGTGGATATGGCAAGAACATATCCACAGTATTTATTTACTGTATATCTGTATAGTTCAATGTTAATTGACAATAAATGTTGTTGTTTTTGAATTGTACTTTCTTTATTTGATTGGCAGTCAGTTGTTGATTACATGCAGACGTTGATAAAGCTACAGGCTACTTCAATATATATCACACTAATTCATAAAGCAAGTTAGACATTTTGATGTTCCGGACCTTTGCATGGGGAGATTTTCTCTAACGGAGCGTCCACACAGCAGCGTGCGTTGACGCTTGGAGGTGGGCGTATCTGAAGCTTGGGGATTTTTTTTGCGAGCAACGCGACCAACAACCAATCACATGAATCTCCTGCCCCCGACATACAAAGCAATAGCAATGTTAAAACGAAGTAAACTGGATATAAAATCCCCAAACAGGCGAAAACCTACCAGTTTCACCCACTGTCTCTGCCACCTCCCTCCATGCCTCGCTCCTCTAGTTTGTATCCCGGTAGATGAACAGAGACTGATCATACAGCACCGGGTGATTCACTACCGCTATAATGAATTTTCCCTCCATTTTTTGGAATATGAGGAAATGACCTGCGTAGTCTCCCAGCATACACGCGGTTTGATTGGCTAGCGATTGTACTGGCAGATTTGCATAAACGGGATTTCATTGGCTGACGCCTCCGTCGAGGCGTCAAAAGTTGAACATTGCTCAACTTTTGACGCCAGCTACGCCAGCAACGCTCCACGTCGCTTCCCAAAATGCAGTTCGGCTAAAAGTGACGTCACCCCATTCAAAGTGAATGGGCAGAAGCGTTGGAAGCTTCAACGCACGCCGCTGTGTGGACGAGCCGTAACTGGACCTCGTTGAATTTTAGTTGCTCTATGCTCTACGGCATACCATCCAATCCCTCAATAAACTCCAACATATCCAGAACTCTGCTGCCCGCCTCCTCACCCACACCTGCTCCCGAGACCACATCACTCCCGTCCTCCAGAACCTCCACTGGCTCCCCATCCGTCAAAGAATCGACTTCAAAGTCCTCCTCATTACTCACAAAGCCCTCAACAATCAGGCCCCCCCCTACCTCACAAACCTGCTGCACCACCACGCCCCTTCCCGCTGCCTCCGCTCATCAGAAGCCACCTCCTATCCATCCCCACCCGCATCAATCACCGGACCTGGGGGGACAGAGCCTTCTCCGTCGCTGCCCCCTCCTCTGGAACTCACTCCCCCAACCCATCAGAGACTGCACTGACCTCACCACCTTCAACAAACTCACAAAAACTCACCTCTTCAATCTGGCTTTTAATGTGTGATTGTTTTTGTATTATTTGACTTTAACTTTAACTATATATTTATTTGTTGTTCCTTTATTTTATTTTCACTATATCTGTAAAGCGTCTTTGAGCACCTGTAAAAGCGCTAACAAAATAAATCTATTATTATTATTATTATTAGGCTGCAGATAGTATGTTTACTCAAGTCAAATATCCAGGTACTTGCACTTTCCTTTCAATTCTTCCATTTTTATGCTATTTAATACTTTTCCATTCAACGTTGGAAGCAAATATCATACTTTTTACTACTTTAAATTTATTTAAAATAAATAATTTAAAAATGTTTACTTTTATGGATTAACAGTCAGCAGTTTAAAAAGTACTTCAAGTTAGCTCCAACCTTACCAGCTGCAACATTGAAATGATGGACATATATATAATCCCGTAATATAATACATATTTCATTCCGAAAATGTCTATTCTGCATAATGAATACTTTTGACTTTGGTACTGTTACACTATCTGCAAAGGCTAAAATCCCCTGCTTGAAACACCTCCATTGGACTCCTTTGTTGGCTTCTGTGACATACTAGTGGCATGATTATGGACAGTATGATCATTTGATGTTATATGTAATATATGTAATATAATATATGTAATATATGATGAGCTAATTTGTCACAATTATTCACTGATTTTAGCTCAACATTTGTATTTATTGCCATTTCACTTTCAATTGAAGGAACAGAGCTCTGCTGTCACTTCCCTGCCATGCAGCGTTCCTACTGATGTACACATCTTTACATCAGAGTAAGAGTCCTTATTCACAGTGCATCTCATTAGCACCACATATATAGGAAGATGAACTGTATTCTGACAAGTGGGTGAAATGCTTTTTGGTGTCTAAACATTTTGGCATGTGATAAGAAGTGTAAGATCTTCTAGCTAAGCAAGTGGGTGTTTGTGCGGTGAAGTGGAGTTTGGCTTAATTAGGGGGTGCTTGTGTAAGAGTGCCGCTGTCCATAGTACTAAAACGACAGGGTGGAGGGATCGATGGAGATAGTCAGAACATGTCACGTCTCAGTTTATTACTTAGCCTGCTTGTTATTCAGGGCTGTAAATAGATCTTCTGGCCTTACTGTAGTAACTGATTTCCAGTCAGCAGAGAGTTGAAAGGACAGTCAATGAGAGAGGGCAATAGACATGTAAACAGCTGATTGATTTGGTGATTCATTTAAATGCCCTGACTGTGAATTGTTAGAATTTTTAATGCCTTCTTTTTAATTTTCTCTCCCCCTGACCCCAATTGTACACTCAAATGAACTCAATACATTTATTTAAAAAGGGATATATACCGGGAATGTAGTGTAAAAGTGATTCCTCAGTCTAAAATATCTATTTATTTAAAATAACTGTACATTTTTTGTCTGGCGACCTGCAGTCACGAACTGCAGATAGCCACTGTACTAAAAAGCAAACCATTCTTTTCAAATTGGCCATATTCTTTATGTTTGAAAAAAAGATGTGGGCTGTTTTGTCAATATAGTACAGCTGAATGAAGACAGGAAAGTGGGGAAAAAAGAGGGGACGGCATGCAGCAAAGGCCCGATGCCAAGAACTCAGCCTTAGCAAATTGAAAGCTCGCTCAACCAGGTGAGCTACCTGGGCGTACCAAAACTTTTACCCAAAATACTATTGTTCTACTGTGGAAGGCAGCAGCAAAAAAAGGTTTTCGCAGGTTAGTGCTGCAGGGTGCTCGCACAGGGGAACGACAAAACCTCTAGATTACCCCCAAGCAGCTGGATGTTAGTTTAGGAAGCACTCCATTTGACAGGCAGCTGAGTTTTCTATCAGTGAAGCACACAGTTAAAACGTCAATTTGGCCGACAATCACATGCATCTAATTTGGAAAGCCAAATTCTTAATCAAAAATAATATTTACATTTTTGTTAAGTCAAATATCATCACAATACATAGAAAGGATGCACAACATGTTATCCCTGTAAGCGCTATATTTGGTAAAGGCAAAATATGTGCAAATATCATTCCATACTAAACATTGTGGTGCTGCTGAGTCGTACCAGCCTACTAATGATAATCTACACACTTAGTAATAAGTTCCTCTTTGTATTTTCTGCCTCACATGTGTCCATGCTTTAATGTTCAAAAAGCTCTTTATTCTTCTCATACTGCCTGTGCTGCAGCACCTCTTTCACCCTCTGGGTGTTTCTCAATCGCGAGTAAAGCTGCTCCAGAGCCACTAGTTCAAGCATACTATGTCAACGAGTGCCGCCGAAGTACTGTTCCAATGTCCAGCATACTTGGAATTCTACCAAGCCCGGCGTACTTCGTTTGGAAAAATTTCGAGGCTGCACATACGTAGACTCCGCGGTCTTAAAATCCCCACAATGTTTGCGCACGGACCAATTTCCCCAAATCTGTGGCGGAAAATGTAAAGCGGGGCCTCTCATATGACGCACACCTGCACACTTGCTCGCCTGTTTCATTCTTCATTTTCCGAATGCCAGGAAGTATTCTTCCCTCGCTTCTGAAGCAAGACGCTCGGAAGACATGTGCTACCAAGCAAGCGTACTCGAGATTGAGAAACGCCCTCTGTCTGAAACCAGAGCCCAGTCTGCTCTGATTGGTTAGATGGCCGGCTCTGTTGTGATTGGTCAACCACTTATAGATGTCCCACCCCTTAGCCATCACAATGTGTAGGACCACTAGCCAATAGAAACTTGATTGTTACAAAGTCATTTCATTTTGTTACAGAAGTAAACAAGGGACTCCAGGGAAGGGAAAACCATAAAAGCAAAGGCCCCTTTAATATATATTTCAATGATTAAGTAAATCATGTTTTTTTTTTTAAAGATCAGTCCCTATAATATCACAAAGCACATCACAATTGCAATATCAGTTCAAATATTTGCCTTTTTTTCTTTGCATATACGGTAGTAACACATCATGTTTGTTTGTTTTTAAATCACTCTAATGGCCTTGGAAGCGAAACAGAAAGAATGTAAAAGTAGTGGCTAGATCAATCTGTATTTATGATGTGTGTTTGACTCACTATGTTGACCTGCAGTGGTTCTGATCCGGGTCTCAGCAGCCTCCCCCTCCTGCAGCTGCCGGAGCCTCCGGACCGCAGGCGCACCGACGACGACGACGATTGACCCATGTCTGGAGGACAGACAGATGATCGATTCAACAAACACACCAATCGACAGTCTCCATATTAATGTGAAATACAAATATGCAAATGTTACCTGACTTGGGCAGGAGCAGCGCCAAGGCAGAGAGAGTGCTGGGGGGGAGCGGCAGGGAGCGGCACCGCTGGAGAGACGCCCTCAGTGGGGGCTCTAACGGGGACACACCCGGGGGGCGAGACAAGGCCTAGAGGGGACTGAGTAGTTAGGGCATCTCCTATATATTCTATACAGAGTCACTTCCATGCACACAATCACACGTGCAAGGGTGAATGCACACGTTCCCCTGCCCTTCACCTTGGAAACAAATCTTCCCTTGTCCCATTTTTTTTTGTTGCAGGTTATTAAAGCATTTCACACATCCAGCAAGGTTCTATTCTGGTGCGAAGTGTATGACCTGCAGCAATACCGAGAGAGAGACTATACATCATGCCAAGCGGGCGGTCTCTCAGGTTCAAATGAACTGACTCTGAGTTAGGGCAATGAGAGGTAGAGCTTATGGGAGCGATGAGGCAGAAAATTGGCGACAGAGAGACTGAGAAGCCACAAAGAAAGAAGGGAGAAAGAAGGGGAAGGAAAAAGAGAGGGGGAGGTGAGCTGAGGGAAAAGCAGAAATACAGGCCTCTATAAATGGGGCAGAGCGTGCATGCATTGTTGCAACTAACAGTGAGTGGGTATAAATACTGGGTGAGTCCTGGGCTGCCCTCCAGAGTGAGTTTGATTCATTATGGGCTATATTTATCAGCAAATAGGTGGAGAGTTACCCTCCAACTTTATTTTTTCATTAGGATTAACATCATATTTATGTCTTTCCTGTGGTTGAAAGTTACTAAGTACATTTACTCAAGTATTGTACTTAAGTACTTTTGACATATTTGTACATATTTGCTACGTTACTCCACTACATTCAAGATGTGAATATTGTACTTTTCACTCCACAACATTTATTTAACACTTACAGTTACTAGTCACAACAACACATATAAGCTGATATGGTACTAATAATCTACACTGTACCTTAAATTGTATATAAATTGACAAACAACAATAATAAAATGCTTTTACATGTATAAACACAGGATCATATTATAGCCATAATAATAAAATACTGGGAAAAGATCCACTCTGAATAATAAGTACTTTGACTGTTCAAACTTGAAGTACATTTAGCTGATACTACTGTACTTCTGAAACAAGTCATTGTGCAGAATGAGTACTACTGATGCTATTACCTTTTTACTTAAGTTGCATTTTTAAATCACGACTTTTACTTGTAGTGCAATATTTTAAGAACATAGAATTTGTACTTTTACTTAAGTAAATGATCTGAGTACTTCTTCCAACACTGTGTCTATCTACTGCATTTAAATACATGTGAGTTGTTTACAGTACTGCAATACTACATGGTAGTAGTTTGTCCAATGCTTGAAGGTCAACATGTCTTTATCAAATGAAAACTAGATAACATATTCAGGCTTGACAAATCATGTCCTGAACAGTGAATATGTATTATTACAATCAAATTGGAGATAAAAGGTCCCACAATTTAAGTAGACTGAAGCACCAGTTGATCTTAACAATACATATAGTTTTAACCCAGGATCAAATGTATGTTAAAGGGTTATGTTATGTTGTTATGTTACATATTTGTTTATGTTGCAAATGGAGCAGCAATGATGCAAGAAAAAGGTCAGAACTGCTATGACAATAAAGTGTTATGGTATCGCATTATACTTACACAGTTTAAATAGGAGTATAGGACTGCTTATTTGTTATTGTATGTCTATGTTTGTATATTTACTCTGAGTGATATTATGCATGAATGCCTGTGTTTGTTTACTTGTCTTCTTACTCTGTGGTGCAGCTCCGTGGACTGCATCTCCCTAGTAACACCGGTCTCTATGACGGAGCAAGGCCTGGAGCGAGCAGCCGTCCGCCTCGGCCCCGGAGAGAAGTGCATGCTGGGAGCAGGCCTGGGTCTCGGCCGGCAGAGCAAGCCGACCTCACTATAGTGGCTGTAGAGGTCTCGGTCCAGGTTGTTGAGCCCCCGCAGGTCCAGTACAGCAGAGACAGGACGAGGACGAGGGCGAGGGCGCGGGGGCTTGTGGGGTACAGAGGTCTTCTCTGTGCTGGGGCGGGCGGGGGTCTGCCTCACACTGCAGCCTGTCTGGCTGGCAATCTGCTCACACAGCTGTGATCGGCACACACACTCAGCAATTTGGCTCCGATAAAGGTGCAACAAAGCATTTTTTGTGTGGGGAATTGGGAGGAACGTCTCTATAGGTTCATCAAAATATAATTTATACTCGCCGTGATGATCCTAATTGCTATGCTTCAGTAGCTACGTATACTCGAGTGCCAAGAAGGTCCCCGAATGGCAATTCAACTTCAGAGAAGACAGGTGTAAACGTGTAAACAGGATATTACGTGTAAACAGTTGCTGAATAGGGAGGATTTTCCCGGTGCCATCATTACTCTGATATTATTGTAGGGCTGCACATTAACACCCTTCCCCAAACACTTATTCCCACAGCACCCTTGCATAATAAACCCCGATGAAAGTGTGCTGAGTATAGAGATGTCACATCTCGTTTTGTCAAGGAGTTAGGGCTAACATGTCCTGACTCGTTGGTGTGACTGGAAGGGGATGACTAATGCCTCCACTGGAGTGAGAAGGGAAGGGTGCCGCCATGAAGTGCAGACGTCACTCTGGCTCTGAGACCGCTGCACACACACACGGACAGCTTTATGGGAATTAGGGTCTTCCTGGCATGGGAAAAAGGACAAACTCTTCTACTGAGATGTTGTCCATTATTGTATTCACTGACTGTTTCCTGCTTTCTCCAACAGATGGGGCAAAAGGACAACTGTAGAGTCGCTGCCCAACTCATTGCCTCACAGGCTGCTGGTGTTTCTGACAGTTAGTAAACCACACCTAGGTCTGAGTAACAAGTCTGGTATTATTTACATTCTGGTTTGTTAATGATTTTTAAGAAGCAAAAGAATGAACGTGGTTAAAACTGTTACATAAATGATATTTACAGCATTTATGCACTAATTATATGGTGCATGCTTGTGGCGATGTTAATGATGTGGAAAAAAGCCTGAAATGGAATGTGGTTATGGCATGATTGTGAAACACATTATACATGATAATGCTGAGTAGCAACTCAAATGACTTTTAACAAATGCATTTATAAAAATGCTGGTGATTAACATTTTGTATTTAAAGACACATACCTTAAATATCTCCTCTGTGGAATCTGATGCTGGCACGCTATTGGTGGTGCTTTCTTTATCACCTTGTTGTGATTGGACACTCACTTCCTGTAACGGGTGGGAGTCAGGTGGAGCATCCCTGGAATCTGGGTCATTTCCTGTCTGTCCCTCTACCTTTTCCTCTGGACAGAGACAGTTTAATGGATCCTTTTCGACCTCTTCTTCTTCTTTAGTATGTGTAGTTGGACCTGGTTTTGGGAAATGATTCTCTACTATGGCTGTGGACCTGTGGTTTGTCTCTAAATGTGTCTCTGCACCCTCTGACCTCTGAAGGCCATTAACAGCTCGAGATCCTGAGCATGCCCTAAAGGCTCTCAGGACAACTTGAGGGGACCGTCCACCTGTCTCAGGTGCTGGATTCTCCCTTTCAAGGCTACTTGCGTGCGAGGATTTAGCGGTCGCTGGTGTTGCTGGTTGGGATTTTGGAAGCCCATCACTGTGGAGTGTCAGGGAAACACTGTGAATGTTGTCCACTGTGGGCTGTGGTGAGCTCATCGGCGTCCTCTCTCCCTCTGGAGGAGCGAAGGAGTGTGATGTGGTCCGCCACTTCCTGGCTGTCTCTGCTACACTGTTAAAAAACTTGAACAGACCACCAAAGTGCCCCTTGGTGTCAGTGGAGTGTTTCGGGGGCGGCGGTTGAAAGTCTTTGACGTTCTCAAAGTCCACAGAACCGTATTCTGAGTCCATGGTCTTGTCCCAAGAGGGAAGCTCTGAGTCAAAGCTCCTCTCTGAAAATACAGGATTGGCCTTCCCCAACAGGGAGATCCTCCTCAAGTAACTCCACACATCTTTGTTCTTCCTTCCCTGACCCTGGTGGGTGCTCGGGCTACCTTTAACGCTCAGCTCCTCGCAGCCTGCAGCAGTTTTGTTACAGTTGGTAGAGTTGTTGTGGTTTCTTTTAGTATAGCAGACTCTTTCTGGTGGTTTACAACCATTCTGAGTCACAGTCTCCCCTGTTACACTGCGCTGGTGTCTGTCTAAAGTAGCTGTGAGGTCGATGTCTTCAAACGAGCATTCAAATTCTGCTGTGTAGCCTGCATAGGAGTGCCTCTTGCCACGGTTTCTAAGAGTGCCCCTGCTGGACTGCTGTGGTGTGCCAATGTCGTGGCAGAAAGAGTCCTCATCCACAAAGGAGCTGCCAAACCTGGCAGTGGACAATTTTCCCGTCTTCCCTCGGAACACAATAGGGGATTTAAGCTTCTTGAAGGAGCGAACTTTGTCAGCAAAGGAGAGTTTAGGGATGGAAGCCTCCCCGGGCAGGATCATGGAGTGGGGTCTGCGCTCCAGCTCTGAACCCGCTCTCTTTCGGTTCAACATCTTCCAGATGCCCCCTGTAGCACGGGGCCTCCGGTTGACCTCCTGACTGTCCTTGACAGGGGTCTGAGAAGAGGCAGCCTGGGGGTCTCCCTGCCCCTCTGCAGGCCCTGGCCCAGCCTCCTCAATATAAACACTGCTGCTCTCATTCTCCACATCCAGAGAAACATTAAACACTCGGTTGACAAACCCATTAGGGTTGTTGCTCACGGGGGCAGGGTTGTCTGTCTCTTCCATCCTCTCTCATTCTACAGCGTCAGCTTTTAGCTCCGATGGATATCATGTCTCGGGCCCCTCTCCCTAAAATACCTGGAGGAACAAAACAAACATTTTTATTCAAGAGTTTTACCTCATTTCTTCATATCATGCTAATGCCAAAGTATGCTATAAATGTAAAATACAGCCTATAATATGAAATCATCTCATTGGAGGGTCATCTATATTTGATCCACGCAGGTCAACAATAATAGATAGGTAGTGCTACTTAAACACTAAAACACAGTGAGAACATCAGAGGTCTCATTCTGTGATTCTCAGACAAGGGCTTTTGTACCATGAGTCAACAAAGTCACAAACCACCCCCCATATTCCATCCACAGTAATTATTTGAGACGCAGTCCCTGTCCACCATTTAAACCAGGAGGCTGTGTTGTCATGGAAACCCTCACTACAGAGATGTGTGGTTATTTCAGGCCTGCTCCGGCTGTGACATCATCAGAGCTCAGATAAGCTCCTTCTGAGGAGGAAGATGCTCAGCAAGTGCTCAACATGTTAATTACCCCCATTTCATATTCCCTTTAATGTATGGAAGCATCTTGTGTAATTGGGGCCTCCAGCATGTGTCTTTGTTGTTACATGAGATCATCACAAAAGATGTGTTTCATTTAAAATGGCCTTTTCGCAGAATGGCACAATTTCATTAGGACACCTTTTTACTGATAAGCTTTTAATGAATACTTTCTGAAGCAGCTCAATCATTCCAAAAAAATGTAAATGTGTCAACAACAAATAAAGTCCAAATTCAATGAGCAAGTAGATATGTTAGCATAAAATACAAGATGTGACTTTTCTACAAATCTTGTGTACCATTAGCCTAATATCCATTTATTCTGATAATGTGTTCTTAAAAAGCCTACTAGGAATGACATAAGCTCCAAAAATATACTTTTTTTGTTGCAGTTTTTGACTTCCACAGTCACAAAACGTACGGTAACTACCACCTCTGTTTCCACCTAAAACTGACAACTCATAGTTAAAAGTGACAGGTTGACTTTACACTGGGTTGGGCGTCTGACAGTCGTATTTCTTGTAATAAAGGCGTCAATAAAATTAGCATTAACGTCGCAGCTGGTTGCTGAATTAAGTTTAATGACATTAGTTTAGCATTTGTTTGCTGGAGTAAACGTCGTAGTTACACTTTTCAAAACTTAAAAGACTTGTTTATCAAGTTAAACCCGCGAAAATATCCGTATATCATCTCTGCGTATCTCTTTCTCGACATTATTTAAGCCGTCACTTACCCCCAGAAAACTCTCCTCGTTTAAAAGGGAATCTTCGTTGCTGTCCGTAAAGCCAATGAAAACACTGCCTTCCACACCGGCTCAAAGTATCCGCTGTATTTCACGGGTTTAATTTATATCCATGAGTAAGGCTGGAGTTATTTTGCGGACAGCGACTCCTTCGAAGTTGTCATGAGTTCCAGTTTTTGCCTGTAAACTTCGCCAGCTATCATGAAACTGAGAGGAACTCCCGGATTTAGCGACAGAGCGGTGAACTCTTGCCCTGCAAACTCCTGCAGACGCCGACACTCTGATAAAGCTCTCACGCAGACAGAGCAATACACACACCGACACCAACACACCCTCTACACACACACACACACACACACACACACACACACACACACACACACACACACACACCACACACACACACACACAGCACACACACACACACACACACACACACACACACACACACACACACACACACACACACACACACACACACACACACACACACACACACACAACACACACACACACACACACGTACACACACACACACACACACACACACACACACACACACACACACACACACACACACACACACACACACACACACACACACACACAATAGGATACACACACAATTATCTACACACAGACACCTTTTTATATTTAATCAGAGCTAAGTTAATTGTTATAACAATAAAGTTAAATAGAAAATTATAATGGGATGTTTACTGTGCCTATCCTACTCCTATTTTGATCATTCAAAACGTTAAATGTCCTATTCAAAGTGTCACGTCTACATATAGCTAAACACTGAAAAACCTAATAAATATTAATTATTTTTAATGTGAGTCTGTTGTAATACACAACAATTTAAGTTTAAGTTAAGATTTAAAACAAATTATATATGTTTTTGTATTATATTGGAATGCTTACTGTGCTTTTGTTTATAATTATCTTAATCCTTCAGATAGCAAAATCATAGCAAAGTTAAGTGTTTTATAAACATATTAATATATATTTTAAATATGTATATTTTATTATTCTACTAATTTGGGATGTTTACTGTGTTTTTCTCCAATTGTACCATACAGAACATGAATTATCTTTATTATCTAAAATCATTAATATATGTTAATGATGTTGAAGTTATTTCCTTATCATATTTGCTCCGTGGAATTGAACACAGCACTTATGATTTGTTTAAGTATACCATCAGTGAAAACAAGTGATTGTCTGAACTCTGGTCTCAGTAGCTGATCCTCCTTTGGGATTTGCGTTGAATGTGAAAATCCTTCTATTGAAAAGGCACAATGGGGAGAGGGAGCTCAGGGAGGGAAACTGAAGGAATTCATAAAAACTAAACAGCTCCAGAGCTCCATAGCCGTGAAAGAGGAGATGGTGGAAGAAGGGGCCTAAATTTAAACATTTCCTCTTTGTCCTGTTTTTGGCCCATTGTCATCGCATGGCGTTCTCTCTTCTGCACAGGAAGGAGTGGATCTGACATCAACGCTCTCAGGCTGACAATGCCAGGAAGTCTGTCTGACTGTATGTAAATATCTCTATGTGTCCATGCTTCCCTTTGCTTGCCCGTGGAGCCTCTCTCCTCTCCGTGGCCCTCTCCCTGGAGAGGTTTTGACCACTTCAGGGTGTATTAGTAGTAGTAGCAACATGGTGATTTACACACTTACCCTAGAGGTCACCCGCAACTGTCACTTTGAATTACAGCAACCTCATTTTCAAATGACCTCTCCTCGGATTTAGCATCTTTAGCATATGGCTTTATATGTAGACCAAATGGGCACTTGTCTTCATACAGTAGCCTATATAGTAACCTAGATTTGTCTATTTCTGTTTTTATTTTATTTTTCCTCATAGTTTTGCATTGACTTTCTGTTTGTTTCCTCACTTCTTCCCCCCCTCCCTCCCTCCCTCCCTCCCCTTACTCACTCACTTCCTCAGAACCCCAAGCCGTCTTCCTGTTGTCCCCTCCCGTCACAAAAGACATCCTGGCTCGAACAGGCCAAATGTTTCAGCTCAGACCTCACTTATATAGAGACATAAAACTAACTTACTCTCATCTTTAGGAAATAAATCCAAACAGCAGTCTTTATGCCAGAAAGTATGAAAAGGAGAAAAAGACTGATGAATGGAGGGAGAAAGATTGAGATTTGTTGACGCTCTAACAGCTGTGCACATGTCTGAAATGATAGGTTTTGTTGACGTTTTGTGAACTGCGTACATTACTGTGAGTTTACTTTGTTGCCTATTCACCAGAGTGTTGAACATTTCTAAGCGAGCTCTTTGAAATGATGTCATCAGCTTCTCGTTTTTAGAACAATCGCCCTCTTCCTCCTCTTCCTATGACACGGTCCCCACTGCTGGGCTCACAAGAGATTACAGAAGACAAACACTTTCTGAGTTTAGGCCCAGCTGTAATTTTTTCACCAGTCTTTGTCAAAGCAGCTGAGTGAAAACAGGCAGCCGTGAAAAAGCCGGGCCAGACAGGGAGGGAGTGCGGGGGGGTTAGATATGTTGTGATATCAAACGAAAGGCTTACTAAAAGCCTGGGAACTGGATTCAGGAGGTGTAGCTCGTGTGGGAACAGCTGGGAGTTCAGTCACATTCTGTTTCCAGTGCAGGTGTTTGTGAAATAGAGGCCAACACACTGTGTAGCTGTGTAATATTACTAGATGTACGTAGATAGGGAGATGTTGATGACGCTGTGATTATGTAGACACAAATTATTGAAGAAGTAATCATATATTTGACTCAAGTAAAGGTAGAAATGTCATTCTAAACTTTATATAAAAACATTTATAATATAACTAAAGGGGCCCTTTTATGCTTTTGGGGGTTTTCCCTTTCCTCTAGTGTGTTATTTAGGTTTTTGTGCATGTAAAAGGTCTGCAAAGGCTAAAATCTCAAAGTTCCCTCGAGAGGGATTTTGTAACACTGCCTGAAACGCCTCCATTGGACTCCTTTGTTTACTTTCGTAACATAGTGACATCACTATGTAACACTCGTACTTTTATTGGCTTGCACTCAAACAAATTGTACGTGATTGGCCTAGGGGCGGAACATCTCTAAGCGGTTGACCAATCACAACAGAGCCGGCCAGCTAACCAATCAGAGCAGACTGGGCTCAGAGGGTGAAAAGAGGTGCTGCAGCACAGGCAGTATGAGAACAATAAAGAGCTTTTTGAGCATTAAAGCATGGAAACATGTCACAGTATAGGCACAAAATAAAATATATGAAACCTGAAAATAAGCACAATAAGGCCTCTTTAAAATTCCAAAATTAATAATTAATCAGAATTGCCCTTTTCAAAATAAAATAAATGATGTCATATTATTGGATTTTAAATATGAATGCAATAATGTTACAGCTGTTAAAGCTGGAGCTTTGTCTAAATACTTTAAGTGCAGTTGGGTTTCTAAATCTATAATAATACATTATACATGGTTAGTTGAATAAAACTGTGTAAAACTAATAATCTGATTCTGCACAGAGGAAAGAATCTTATTATGTTGTAATAAATTGAAAGTACAATATTTGCCAGAAAATGTGTTGTGAAGTAGAAGTATAAAGCACCATGAAATGAATGTGAAGTACAAGAGCCCCACAACTGTCCATGTACCAATAGATAGATACTGTAGATAGATAGATATCATTTATTTTGTTCCAGCAGCAGTGTCGAGCATTGACATTTAGACGCTGGTATACACAGAGGCTCCTTAAACAGTAGCGTTTTGAAGTGCCACACACACACTTATGCAGATTAACATTTCTGCCCACTTCTGGTATAAGAAATGCCCAGGTAGTGGTTTGCCTTCAGTGGCCGAAGAGAGAGTTTGAATTACACTGACATTCCTGAAATTCCCTCAGGTCTGACCTGCAGACTTCCTTGGCCTGGCTGCACATGGCACCATTCCTGAAACACACACACACACACACACACACACACACACACACACACACACACACACACACACACACACACACACACACACACACACACACACACACACACACACACACACACACACACACACACACACACACACACACACACACACACACACATTTGAGTCGATTCTAGCAGTTCACAGATACTTTCATCTTTACAATCAGTCTGGGATAATCAATCAGTTTGGGCTCTGAACACACGCACACACACGCACATGCACACATACCAACACATACACACACACGCACACACGCACGCACGTACTAGCTCACATGGCACACACATGGGACGCTGGAATGTCAGCATTAGGAAAGGTCTGGCTGTTGATGGTGATGGGAAGGTCTCACTAAACGACTTTATCTAACATCTATCTGAGAGGCAGGGGGCGGGGGCATAGAGAGGTAGAAAGAATGAGAGGGACAGGACAGGGGGAGGGTGTGTGTTTGTGTTTGTGTGTTTTCAGCTGGGGACTTTCAGCCATTATCAGGATGAATCTGAAAACAGGAAGGCGGGTTCCATTAAACAAGACGAGCGGAAGACGACCACAGTTCTACTTCCTGTTTTAAAACAAGGGAGGAAACCACAGATTTTTTAGGAATTCAAATCAGAATCAACACTTTACGTATAAAGAACATCTCTATAGCAGATACAATACTCTGGTTTTGACAAAATTAATTATTGTTATTGTTAAATTCCCCGTTTGTCAAACATATTTTTCTGTTTAATTATTTTCTTTGTGTAAATATTGCTGTCAACAGTGTGATCAGACAGATATTCATCCCAGTTTTGACACAAGTGATGGTTTCTCTGGCTTTGTCATACTGGCTGGGGGCTGAGCAGGACTTGGCTGTGTTTGTGGGTCACAGCAGTAGAGAGAAAAAGCTTCCCGGCATACTAAACACAATTTCCGCTCATCTGGGTGCTTCCATTTCTACGGACAGGGACGTTTTCTGATTGGGGAAAGCCCGGGGGATGGGGTGATTAAAGGGAGGGATTGCAGGCGGGCAGAGGAGGGATATTTAAGAACAAAAGGAGATGAAACATTGCAGATCATCCTGCGTCTTCTCAACACAAGAAGTGAAATAAAAGGGTGAGATCTAAAGCCAGATAGTACACAATTAGTATTGTGATTGATAGGAAAATGGCATTCCTCAAACTGATTCGTCATTAGGAACCTTTTTTTTATCTCCTTGATGAATGTTGACCTATGACCACACGGCTGTCCCTGGTCAGTATCCTCTGATCGGGTAAGGTTGTAAAAATTGTGATTTGGGCAGCCCAGTTTTTAATTGTGATGAAGCGATTGGCACATTATTAGGGCTATCAATAAT